ATCTACTGATACAACAAGGGAAAGGAAGACAGTAAAACAATGCTTAGAGATAAGGCGAAAGAGAAGGGACCGTACAGGAACAAGCTCATACCAAGCGCAAAACAGAGGTATTTGGAGAAGGCTTGTTAATAAACCCTCTGGTGACACGCCATGGTTTTGCCCTTGTTGTGCAGAATAGGTTTTTCCTATTTCTTAAAATTGTATTATTGTTATTGCTGTGTGCCTTTGCAGTGTTTTTTTGTACATTTGCACTAATAACAGTCTTATTTGTTATTATTATTTATGTTATAATTTATTTTATTATGTTGTGCATGTTTACATGCTGGAAACAGTACTTTGAATGCACACGTTGTTTTGCAGTGTTTTGTGTCCCTTTGCACTAAGAAAAGTATGACTCTTATGATCATTTTTGCCTATGCTGTGCATGTTTACATGCTGGAAACAGTACTTTGAATGCACACGTTGTTTTGCAGTGTTTTGTGTCCCTTTTCACTAAGAAAAGTATGACTCTTATGATCATTTTTGCCTATGCTGTGCATGTTTACATGCTGGAAACAGTACTTTGAATGCACACGTTGTTTAGCAGTGTTTTGTGTCCCTTTGCACTAAGAAAAGTATGACTCTTATTATCATTTTTACCTATGTTGGGCATGTTTACATGCTGGAAACAGTACTTTGACTGCACACGTTTGTAACAAAAAAAATATTCATTTCTCAATAAATATTGGTAAACCATATCAAGTTGTTTCATGCATTTATTTACAAATAAAAGATACAGTAAAGAATAAGGTACTCAAACAACACTTTTGCACATGTTCGTTAAGGCACAGCAAACAATGACAATCTTATCCAAAGGCATTAGGTTTTCACCCTCACATTTGACAAGCATGTGCACAGGTACAGTTGAGTGTAAGAATTTGAATTTGTTGCGCACAACACCGATCACCCTCTCCACGTGAATTCTGAGATGTGCTATGGCCCTAGTCTCCTCCACATCTTTCGCCTCAAGCTGAGCACGACCCCTGGTGAATGTAGGTATTTTCACTTCAGCACACATCATGCCCACATGTTCTCTTATATTAAAGCCTCTATCTGCCAGCACAATGTCACCTGGTAACAGCTTGTTCAGGAAACCACTTTGCTCGGTTATATGCTTGTCGCTTGTGCGCCCACCCCACCCGTTCGATATGAAGGAAATTACACCCTGGGGCGTGATCACGATTAGGTATTTCATAGTGTATGCGTGTTTGTATTGAGAAAAAGTCTGTGCCCTTGCTAGTACATTGGAAGGTTTCTCGATGAACACCTCGAAGCAGTCCACAATGGCAGCCACATTGTTCCCAAATGACTCCACAAACTGGTGTGGCATACTGGCCAATAAGCATTCCCTACTTGGCCAGTGCACCAATGGACACAGCTGTGCGTACATCACACCAAGGGTATGGTGAAAGGCATCGGCGACTGTTGTCCTATGTACTCTAAACAGATGGCTGAGGTGCTGTATTGGAAGGTCCAGTCTGAGGCGCATTAAAGTCAATAGGACAAGCTGGAAGGGTGAGAGCTTCTTCATTCTACCTTGAGGCAGATCTGGAGTTAGGTAGAGTAGAAGTGTCTGGAACAATGCAAAGTTTGGAAGCCCCGTGTAATACTTCACTGTGTTATCATCACCACTCAGAAAGTTCTCATTCATCCGGTACGTATCAAGCTCACGCTTCAGCTGTCTGTTTTCTTCAAGAAGATTGTTGATAACATCTCGTCTAGATGTGCAGAGTCCACATTCCATGTCCGGGTCAGCTGGCGGCTGGTCTAGGGCTGGCGGCGGCGGCGCCTGCGGCTGGTCTAGGGCTGGCGGCGGCGGCGCCTGCGGCTGGTCTAGGGCTGGTGGCGGCGGCGCCTGCGGCTGGTCTAGGGCTGGTGGCGGCGGCGCCTGCGGCTGGTCTAGGGCTGGTGGCGGCGGCGCCTGCGGCTGGTCTAGGGCTGGTGGCGGCGGCGCCTGCGGCTGGTCTAGGGCTGGTGGCGGCTGCAGCTGGTCTAGGGCTGGTGGCGGCTGCAGCTGGTCTAGGGCTGGTGGCGGCTGCAGCTGGTCTAGGGCTGGAGGCGGCGGCGCCTGCGGCTGGTGTTGGGCTGGAGGTGGCTGCCGCTCCAGTGGCAGGGACCTGCGCCTTACTTGCCGCTGATATCTCGCTTCATCTGTTTTTTGTACATCATTGTGGCCTAACAACAGGGATGGTGTCCAGTCAGGGTGGTTCTCCAACATCTCATATGCTGGTTTACCTACACGAGAATAATAACAACATATAATTAATATAATAATTTGCACAATCTATGTAATCAATGCTTTAAACTGGCAACTATGTCATGAACAGCATCTCAAGTACTTTTTAGGTCACCTCATAATGTCATATGAAGGTTTATGTACAACAGAATAATTAGATTATGTGTACAATCTATGTAATCTATGCTTTACACTGGCAAAGACCTCGCAGAACACGTGTTAAGTAAGAAACAGCCTGAGAGGGTAACAAAGACACAGAGACAAAGGCACTACAGAAACCATAATAACATATGCTAACCTACACTTCCTAGCTTTAAGAGACAACTACATAAATACATTTTTAGAGAACGTACCAGAGTGAAAATGCAGAGAACACACTCTCGTCGACAGGGGTGTGTGATCGAAAGTAAGGTCCTTTCTTCTAATTGCAGGCAACCAAGCAATCCGATGTCTCCTTGTCAGGTCAGAGAATTGCTCCCCTTGATGCTTTTTCCATTTCGGTAACCTAAAAAACTGTATCCCGTTGTTACTAGGTTTTCCATATCCATCGTGGGAGGTATTGGAGCAGTTTTTAACGCAGCAGTTATTTCCAGGCATGATAAAACAGTGCGGAATAGCAAGAACCTCCGCTACTACCGCGTTCACAACACACGTAAACAAACTGTACTGCCGCCACCGGTGCGCAGCCAATATGTCGGCAAAGGGGGGATGGGGAGGGGGGACTCTGTGCCGTGACGTCAACTCCTCATTCTCAATAGCTCCTTTAAAGTTCACTCCCATAGACGTCGGAACTAGGGGTGCGGGGGGTGCGGCCGCACCCCCTCCGCGTGTGCCGGGAGCGAGAAGTTATCACTACCCTGCGTTCCTTGCAGCCCAAAACCCGCTCCATGCTGTCGGAGAAGCTTATGAAGCTCTGTCTGGCTAATATCTGTCGCAGCCTCTGAGCGCTCTTTCTCAGCCTTGCGCAGATTAAAGACCTGGCTACACCAGTGACGTGCGGTGGGGGATCAATCATGTGTTCATATGATTATACATCATATAAACCAACAGGACCTACAGGAACAGGAGCGGCTTATACACAATTTGTTTGGCTACAGCAGAATATGATTTAATGTCTGCATTGTTTTCTCATACAAAACGCAAACGTTTGTAAAAAGTACAAAGTGTGTTATGGGCCTTACCTTAGGTATTAATGAACAGCACAGACCACTTCAGTTAGGACCAGTTTCATGTTTAAGTCCAGATAATAGTTTGAGCACAGACATGTAATCCTCCATTTGGAAATAAGTTCAATGAGTTTTAAAAAGTAAAAAAAACAGGTGTCTCCTCCGTAAACTGCGAGTTTTGCTGCAGCCGACTCCCGGGTAAATCCAATTTCTAAATTCAACCTTACCCTTCACCTCCTTTTCTTATGATTCATATCATCATTGGAAGCAAAACATTACTCTAAGTGCATTTTAAATTATCTTAAAATGTATTATAGGTATGTTAGCCAAACCTGTAGCTGCCCTTAGCAGAAGAAGAACAAGAAAGGAGCTTTCTGATGGAATTGGATGCAGCCAAAGTTTGGGCTCACAAGCGCCCCCTTGAGGCTTTCCTCACTTACAAGCAGTGGTTGAGCGCGATTAAGACCCATATTTGCTTCAAAAACACAATTTATGAGCCATCCTCTTAAATGTAAACATGTTGATTGTAAATTAAATATTTTTGGACTTTTTAAACTGTGATAAACAGAGAAAACAGTTTGATAGCACCTCACAGGACTCTCCCTGTGAGCTGTTGCTTTTTACGTCTCCCAAGAGAGGCTCGCCTCACAGCACCGCTCTGTCAAATCTGCGATTTCAAGGTATAAATAAATGAAATAAGGCACAGCACAAATCACTTGATAAAGTGACCAAACATTATTGTATCCATTTTATTACTTTTCTTTCTATGATCTTAGGTGAGGGCCTTGCCTGCCTCATCTGACCGCACGTCACTGGGCTACACAACACAATGAAGCCACCGGAGAGACTGACGCATGAATGCGTATTGAAAAAAAAAAAGTTCAGTTTGATAAGTGACTCGCTTGATATATATTGTTTATTTTGTTTTTCTTAACAATTAAGATGGTATGTTATTATCCAGTGTAATCCAAGTATGAGTCTCTCCCTCGACTCTCCCAACAAAAACCCGCCCCCCCTCTCAGAAAATAGTTCCGACGTCCATGTTCACTCCTTGAATAAAGCAAAGTCTTGTGTTTCTTTTCTAAGATATCAATAACACTTTTTTAAAACCCCTATTTTTATTATAGTCCTTTACCAAATTGTTCATTTTATATATGAGTTTCATATATTTTTTATGTGTCCCTTGAAAGGCTCGTGACTCATTAATCAATCATCCCTGACCCCCCATCGAGTCCCGGCCCACCAGTTGAGACCCGCTGTGATCTGCTTGTGTTTTCACGTCGCTTGAATTGAAATCACAGCTGCCACTATCCTGGGCTTGACTGCGATCAGATCATATCAACACGGGACAAACGCATGTGTCCGAGACTGAAAACCCCTCATTTAATCTTGTGCAAACACTGATTCTATAACTGACAGAAGGGGTCGCGCATCCACAGCAGCCTCACCCCCCATCCCAAGCCCCTACCACAGGCCCCTCCTCACCCAGTCGCGCAGACGGAATGACGCGCTCTGATTGGTTCCACGGGACTCGGAGAAAACACGCATTCCTCCGCGAGCCTCAAATTTCTTCCCATCTCCCCCTGCTCCTCGGCCGATCACCTCCGTCCTGACAAACATCCCGCTCCTCGTTTGTCCCCACAACCAAGCAATAAAGGTAACTGCCCCAGCCCCATCACAAACCAAAATGTAAATCCTATTGTATATTATATTCTCTGTCCTCTTTCCCCCTGTTCCAGATGTTGCGAAGTGCGGCGGTGTTCTTTCTGCTCTCCGTAGCCCTTACCAGCGCAGAGGTAAGTTTCAAACACTTATCCTTATTGCTATTCCCGGCAGTCATGGCTCAGTTGTTAAAGTTAAAGAGCAGACGGGTCACTTTCTCTTACTGCTGACATAAACAAAGGCATGCGCACTGTTGCATAGAGTTCATCGAATGCGAGCAACCATAGGAACCTATTGTCTGTATTATGTTAAAGCTGACTACAGAGCTTAGATTGAATAAGTATTGGATGTTTAAATCATTCATGGCCTCCAAAATGCACGTATTTTAATGCCATGTTGGGTGTGCTCTATAAACTGGCTCAAAATAGTCTACATTCGTTGTAAAAAATGAATTCAATCAATAAAAAAAGGCCAGGCTTCCACACTGACAGCTATAATAAAGATGTGTGGAGTCCCTAATGTCCTTGGAGCTTGTGGGCCCTCCCCATGAGGTTTTGGGGTCTGACATTATTACCTGTCTGTGTTTGTCTGGTGTCTGTTTGCCTGTGTACTCAGGGAGCTAAGTGGGTGTCCTCTGAGCCAACGATTTCTCTTAAATTAGGGCTAATAGGAGGCAAAGGTACAGAAAATGGAAGTCACTGAGGCTTCATGTTGGGTGAGTGGTCCCACGATACAAAGGGCTCACTGCTCACCTTTTCTTTTGGCTGGGATTTTTTTTCTTTTAATACTGTTCTGTGCGTTGAGCATGAGATTGTGTTATACCAGTGGTTCAGTGGGAATTTTTACGACCCTAAATATAAAGATACTGTAGTGTTATTTACGAGTGAGCCCATCAGCTTCTTGTTTCTGCTGTTTTTGTCTCTATGTAACGTTACCACATCCAATATGAAGTCTTTTAAGTTCTGTCCAGAGCACTGCAGAAAGCCAATCCTGCATAAAGACCTCATTTATGTGTAAACTATTTAGATGAGTTCATTATTTGGGACGAGGTCATCATTTGTTTGGCCATCTGCTTTGTGCCCATTTGGTAAGAGACACCAGGTGGTGGCTGCCGACCCAAAGCCCAGCCACTGACTCAGCTGTCCAACACCTGGCCCTGTGTCATCTCCCTGCAGTTACTGTCCGGAGTAACCCCATTTTTAACCAAAAATTAGGTCTAAAATTAAAGGATGCAGCAAAGACCTCGTGTTAGTCTTTAGTTTAGTAGTAGTAGTTCTGTTTAGTTTTCCTTAGGGTCAAACAGAGATTCTACCAGATGAATTTGGCTTACACATATCATAACCCAAACCATCACTTCAACCTAACCTTATATTTGCCCCTTCCTGACTTTAATATTAAATAAACTATCCTTCTCTCCAACCATTTCCTAACCTCAAACTCAACCCTATCTCTTTACCTGATGACTCTGCTGCTCCTGTTGGATAGAAAACCATCGTATTGTATTGCATTCACAAAGCAGGGATCTGTTGGCCATTACGTTGGCTAAAGACAGCGTGATGCAGTCTGGAGTGGACTGAAGTTAATGAGCAGCATTAGAAAAGCAGCTATTCTCCAAAGGTAATTACCCTGATAATATACGGCCTGTTGGCTGTCCATTTGAGGGGTCTGAACTGACATACCAACACGAGGTCAACAAGTTAGAACGATGTGATCGGCCTACAGAACAGATAAACAGGAATGATGTTGAGTTTATGTCAGTGTGCTCCAATGTTGACATGTTTATTTTATTGATGCAGACTGTGGTTGTAAAGAAAGAACACGTTATATGTTTTGTGTTGGAAAAAAGTGTAATTCCTACCAGATGACTCCAATGACTGTGTCCAGAAGGAATGAGGTCAAATGATTTGGTTCATTCCTCACAACAACAGACTGAGAAGTTGCTATGGGTCGTTGAAAATGAGAGAAGACGATTTAAAGTAAAGTTATGAAAATAACCAGATCAGTAGCAATTGTCTATGGTGTTGGTGCCCTATCAAAAGCTTGAGACATGCCATAGTTATTGGAAAGGATTGTATGATTAGTCTTTACCAAAGACAAGGATGGATGAAAAAGTGTAGATTACCACTACAATTTCGGAGTATTAAATTAATAGTTATTATTGAGGAGCCTGTTTCTCAGTCAGTGATGCACAGTTCATGAACAGTGGGAGAATAACAAGGACTCAAACACAAGACTAATATAGTATAGTAAGGCTGAAAATCTTTGGAGACTATTTATCTCAAAAAGGAAGAAATATAATATGAAAGTGGTGATCAAATAATATATACAATAAAATGAAACTTAATACATTTCTGTTTTATGAAAGTCAGATGCAGCCGTAAAACAGTACAGACAGAGCGGTGGAGGCCAACAGCATAAGCTCTGATGTTTATTATGTTTTTGTTCTAGTTCAAACTGACGAGGTTAACAAACCCAGAGACACTTGAGTTTTCACATAGATAAATATACAGGCAGGAAGTTGGCCATCGCATCTGACTTATTTTAAAACATTCAATGTGAGGAAGTGACTTGTCTGGAAACACAAAGGCATTAGCATGTTGCAGAGTGGTCTATACATGATGCATACTATGAGCTGAAAAACTCTATATTTATGAACCTATTGCATTCTAAAGCACCCATTAATTAAGAAAACATTATCTGTGTCTGTGGCTGAAGATCCGTCCTGCTGAAAAGGTAGCATTTGTTTTGGGATTACAATTCTAACACAACCTTTGTTCACACATAAGATGAAACTGGAAAAATGTGAAACTATCACATATGTTATACGCAAAGTGAGATATATCAAGCCTTTAATTCATATAATGTTAATGTTGGGCTCACAGCTTGTAAAAACCACAAATATAACATCTCAGAAAATGTGAATATTTTGAAAACTAGTTAGTAAGCCATAATCATCTAAATCAGGGGTGTCAAGCTTAAAAAGGGGGCCAAGTTTAAAAACGTAAGAGCAGGTTGGGGCCAAAAGTATAAAAGTGGTTTGACAGTTTCATTTTATTTGAGAAGAGTTGTTTCTAGTACAACTGGGCCAAATATCAGGAACATAAAAACATACATCTTTGGCCTTAACTTAACTTCTAATTTCATATTTGTTAACATTTTAGAAAATATTGCACAAGATTCATAATGTATGACATAATATCCCAGTACCATCAATGCTGTAAATTACTATAATAATGATAATTGAAAATAATTTCAAGGGCCGCTAAATATGGTCTTGCAGGCCGAATTTGGGCCACCGGAGTTTGACATGCCTGCTCTAAATATTAATAGACAAACGCTTTGCATGTAATAAGTTTATACATACATTGGTTTCATATTTTAAGTTTAAAAACAGAAAAAAGGAACTTTTGAACGATATTCTAATTCTCCAAGTTTCACCTGTCTTTTCCACCGTTACAATTCTCCTTATCGGTCCTAAACTCCAGTCCAAGTCCGTCTGAGTTGTCAGAGTGAGTGGCTCGTGTCCCAGCGTGTTTTCATGTGGACGTCCGTTGGGTGAGATTCAAGGTTGGCTAAAAATACATCCTAGGTGTAGAGGATACGAGAGGCCGCGGTGTCCTCTGTAGCCGCTCTAATTACCCCAGTGTTGTGGAGGATGCAGAGACTGATGTACAGCTGTGCAGTGGAGTAGATGGGAGCAGAGGTAAAGGGTGTCACTGTGGGCGGCTTGGACAGCGTTTCATGTCCCCACACTGTTCTTTCGCGCTCATTCTTGGCTCTGCTGAAAAGGAGACCTGGTTTCGCTCACCAGCCAAAATCACTGCCTTATCACTAACGACACTGCTCTCAAAGGTACCACGCACAAATGACAAGGAGCGCCCACTCACACCCGCTCCTGTCAGGGATAATTACTGTGCATTACTGGAAAACGAACTCTCAAAGTTTGTGTCAAGCTAAAACAAATCTTAACAGCTTCACTCAAAGTTTCAGACACCGCTTGCCATCCTTGCATTTAGCAGTGTTATAAAAAATAAACTCTCCAAGTCAGCATTATTTAAGCGTCAACCAGACACTTTTTCTATTTATAAAATAGAATTACAATTACTCCATTGCAAGGATTCATACATGGATTGAGCTAATAAAAGTTACATTAATAATTTTGAGTTGCCGCCTTGTTTACAATTATTACAATTTGGACAGAAATATTGACATTACAACTAAACAGGGAAAAACAACTTCTTTCACACTTTCTAATTCTCAACCAAAACTTCCCTTATGACTTTATGACTTTATGACACATGTTGGTTCACTGTGACTCCACCAAGAAGTAAAGTGATCGCCTGTGTGTGTGTATTTGGGTGGGTGGGTTTTTGAGTTGTGGGTTTGTGTGTGCGTGTATGTGTTTGGGTGGGTGTGTGTGTGTGTTTGGGTGTGTGTGTGTGTGTGTGTGTGTGTTTGGGCAGGGTTGCGCAAATTGAGCTGAAATTGTGTAGAAGAGATGGGATTGTAGGAATTCCCCTTTCAAACTTCAGAATGATCTGTTGCCTTGGCGGGGTATGCGCTCGACTTTTGTAATGTGAATTAAAACAACGACCAAATCATCTTGACATCTCGAGTCCAACTTGAACTATAAAACCCCTCCACAGTTTGACTTAGCTTGGCAGGCCTCACCCACTTCCACACAGCTGTTATCAGGCTTGTTAGGCCACAATTTAACCCCTTTACACTATAATTCCTCAAGAAATGGGTAATCATATTCTTAATTCATTCCCATGTTCTCGTTTGTCACGTTGTATGCATTTATTTACAGTAGTTCTATTGTAGCAACATTTCAACCTTCAAGATTAAGAGATCCTTTATTTGTCCCACAGTGGGGGAAATTTCAGTGTTGCATCGCCAGTTACAGAACAGTAGGAATAAGGAGCACACAACACAATATAAATGAAGAATAACTCTATACTAAAATCTCTATCTTTATCATAATAACAATAGAAGTCTTAAAATGTCCAACAGCATGATGTAAATACAAAAACCACAGACTTTAGCATAGCTTTCTGTTTACAGGGCCGTTGCTTGATGTCCTGTTGCACACTCAATGGAGAATATTTCTACGCAACTCCTTTTTCTGTCCCTA